CATCCTGACAAACCCTCTTCGTCGTGCTAAGGAATTCCCTATAGAGTCACGTATTTCAAACACTTTCTTTTCCACATCATCCCACAATGACAGAAGAACTCTTACCTGACCTGCTCTCACCAAGTTTGGCCGCCCATCTACATCTAGGCAAGACATGACCGCCTTGAACCTGGATCCGCGAAGCACCATCTCGTTGCGTGACACAAGCACAACTGCATCCACAAGTTTCCCGCTTTTGCTTGAAGAAGCCACACATAGCACTCTGGCGAAAGGACATCCGTCATTTGTCAAGTGCACACAACAGTACGACAGAGCTTGTGGAGAAGTCCCCGGGCAACGGGGTGGGTAGTGTTCCAAGAATGAACAATGACGAGCGCAGTCCTCCAACTCTTGCCTCTGCGAACTTCCCCAAGTTCGTGGCGAAGATGTGATATACTCGCAGTGGAGGCGACGTTTGAAGCTGGTACGGAAGTGGACCGGTTCACCCTTATCGTCCAGGGTCTTTCGATGGAGGACACCAGTAGGCAGTGCAATGAGGCTCCCGAACTCCAACATGTTGGCAAACTTGTAATGGCTTGCCCATGGGAAGGAACGCTCCATCGCCTTCCAGTCATTTTCGTTCCGTTCGTCGAGATGCCGGTTCATGTAAGGGACAACGGTCGTCCATGGGTCGTCCTCGAAGTCGTCCTCGGGTGCATCGTCGATCCACATTTGACCGTTATGATGTCGCAACGATCTCGCATAAGGTGGAAAGGGTTTCGTTAAGCGCATGTGCCTCTCGGGTGTCATGGCGATGCTTGTCGAAGGACTCGACGACATTAAACTCCCTACACAACACGAACACATGGATAGACATACAGAAGAGGAGACGGTCGTAAACAATGTCGGTGAACGATAATTTCCCCAACGACGCCCACACCCAACTGTAACGCCCTACACTTTTTTGTCGGCGAAGCCCTCACAGAAGGCCGTCAATCGGAATCGTCAAAAAAAAAAATCTTTCCACGTCGCATTGCAAAGCCCTTACAGAAGGTCACCAATCAGAAGTTCACCAAGCCAATGGAGTGTTTTCTAAAAGTCATGCAGGGACCCATTCCAGAGCAGATGCAAGTTTTCCAAAAATTATCAAAACCCACGCCGTAAAGCACATTGAGACATACAGAAGAGTGGGACGACCCTCGTCGAACTGAACAGCACACCGACGCCGGACAACCACATTACACCGCCTCATCTACAGAAGACGTTTTCGCACAGTCGACATGACAAGTACTTTTCGCAGAGCCATGAAAGCACACACTCTACCTACCACGGTCATTCTGAATACGAGCTGAACAGAAGTGCAAGACAGAAGCTCATCCAAGCCTACCGCACCGTCCCGGATCCAAGGTTCGGATCAATCCGAGCCACCCGCCAACAAAAGTCCTAGACAGAAGCTCATCCATGCCTACCAGTCCGTGGTTCGGATCAATGCGAGCAACCGCCCCGGGACGATAGACATTAAATGGGATGTCGTGCGACCGTCCGTGGCTCGGATTAATCCGAGCCACCGCCCAGCCACCTCACCTCACTCGGAGGGATGTGGCAGAAGGATGAGACACCCCTGGAATCGAAGTCGGACCCAGTAGGAAGCAACACGTCCTTTCTGATGTTTGCCTTACTGCCCCATGTGCAAAAAAACAAAAGCCAAGAGTGGCAGACAAATCAGACTCAATCGCCGTCGAGCTATGAGGTTCGGATTAATTATTCGGACCACAGCAAACGGTTTCAGTCAGGCGGTACCCAGACGTCCTTCGAAATGTTCACATTTCGCCTCTCAGAAGGACAAATAAACAACGAATGTCATGAGTGCCCACCATCGGTTATTGTATGTTGCATTCAAGATGCGTGGCGTGTGCCGCCGTTTTCCTTTCCYGATGAGACCTCCCGTCACTGGGCAGGATACTCACCTCGGGACTCCCGATGCGGTGAGGGATGTGGTTCGGATTGATCCGAGCTATATCACACGTTTAGGAGTGACGCGGAACTTATATGTCCTGTGTGAGTATTGCACAACCCAATGCAGAATAAATAAACACTGACAAAAGCCACACCTGCCGTCCGCCAGTCGTCTGTGGTTGTGGTTCGGATTCATCCGAGCTACAAACGAAGGCAAAAGCAGATGGGGAGCTATCGGAGTCATGATTTCTGAAGATGTTTACTTCGAANTGGTTGTGGTTCGGATTCATCCGAGCTACAAACGAAGGCAAAAGCAGATGGGGAGCTATCGGAGTCATGATTTCTGAAGATGTTTACTTCGAAGCGATCCCCTATGTCGTCGTTGTCCCTTCCACTGAGACATCGGAGGGATGCGGTTCCCGTTGAGACTTCCCACGAGCCGAGGGTTGTGGTTTGGATTCATCCGAACTACATCACACGTTCCGTAGTGAGGCGAAACAAAAAACGTCCAGCCTGAGAATTGCATAACCCCTCGTGGGAGACAAAGAACACCGACGGAAGTCATGAGTGGTGGGTTGTCATGGAAAGGGGGTCGCCTCAGAACTCTCGATGGGGGAACGTTGTGTGTAAACAATGGGTCGGATGCAAGGGGGGCATAGTCATCCAACCACTGCCATCGAAAATGACATCTACTATTGCCTTCATCCCGAGATCGGATGAATCCAAACTCCATCCGGAACAAGTGGCACAAACAGCACTCTCTCACTCCCGCTGCGATCCCGAGAACGCCTCCCTAAGCTGCTCTGGAAAACAAGGCTGCGATTAATTGGAATCGAAATTTGATCGGCGTGGATCGAGAGCTGATCTTTCCACGAGGTCATTGTGCGTTCATTCAGCTAAGATTTCGAGACTGCAATCGTCGCGAGGATTGTCCACGTCAGAGTTCGCCCAAAATGAATCGTGGCGAGGGGACGGGCTGCCGCACTGGCGGCGGTGCTATGGAGTTTTCCTGTGGGTGAGATGGAACTTGTAAGCGCTAGTTCCATATCCGAAATGTTGCCGATGCGTGTCCGGCGTCTCGCGCCCGGTTGCGTGGCGGTTCCTCATTGCTAGCTGCGTGTGCGAGAACGGGCGATGAGACAGGGAACGTTCAAGACAACAAGAAAAAGATCCTGATGTCGTCCACAACCGCGATAGACATGTTCCATTACCGAGTCGATCGAAAACGAGCTCGAAGTTGGCACTTGGCGGTGGGATGTCGCGGGATCGGTGGTGGTCTGGGATGTTTCGGACTCGCCATGGGTATCCTTTGTGCGCAACGGGTCGTCGCTGAACGTTGTGGATGGGTGGCTTGGCCACTGTTGGCTGTAAGTGCGACACGGGCGATTCCTGTTGGAGGTGCGCTTTTGTCGTGAAGCTTCCAGCTATCAGCGCAGTGATAACAGATCGTCCGATAGACGTCAACACCGGAGATGGATGGACGGGATCTTAAAGTCGATCGACACACGTTTTTCAGATGACGTCTCCGGTGTTGACGTCTATCGGGTGATGTGTTATCGCAGCGGTGATCACATACCGCGATTTTGAGGACGCCAAGGAACAACGGCGATGAAACTTCGTCCACGCGTCAGATGCGGTCATCGGAGGCGTCCGACGATCTTGAATGCGAAAGCCGCAGACCATTTCGAATTCCAGACGTCATGCGCAAGATGGTGACGTCAGTGTGTGTCAGTGGAAGGGAACTGTCGTGGTTGTGAGCTGCGGACATCGTGGGCTGAAGATCGCGCGCATGTCGACTCGTGCGTGATAGACGGAGCAGGCGGTGATGCAGAAGAATACCCGCACGACCGACTGCATTGCAATATCCTAAGTAGACTGGGGGAGGACGACCCGCGAGCCAGGGTCCAAGAAAGTGTACCAAGAAGCGATGTCGAGCACGCCAAGACTCGAGGGCGATGCGACTTTCTCCACACGTCAAATGCGGTCGACGGAGGGCGCCAAGACTAGAGGGCGATGTTGAGGACGCCAACAAGCGATGGTGAGGACGCCAACAAGTGATGTTGAGGACGCAAACAAGCGATGTTGAGGACGCCAAGACTCGAGGCCGATGACTGTGAAAGCCGCGAGCCATTGCCCGTCGCTGACGTCATGTGCAAGATGATGACGTCAGCATATGTCACTGCATGGGGTCTTCCGTCGTTGTGATCGGTGGGCGTCGTGCGCTCAAGATCGTGCGCGCGTGATTGGCGGAGCAGGTGGTGGTAGAGAACAAGACTTGCATGGTCGAAGGAGTGGAAGGGCAATGGGAAGAGGTGGGGGCTTGAAATGGTGAAGGGGTCGAGCAGGGGGCGTGGGCTTCTTACTGACCTGCGAGTCGACAAACGCCTCCAGCCAACACAAGAAAGCACAGCGCGAACGGGACGACGCGGAAGGTCTACAATCGCGTGACGTTTTCGTTAGCGCCCCCGGCTATCGACGATTGCTGGAAGAACGAGGGCCTGGATGCGCAAGGGGCCTGCGATATAATGCAGGCGACTTCGAGCGATGGCGGACGCGTCGCAAAGGCAGCACACGGAAGAAATGACACCAGCGAACGCGTGTGACAGCCACCCCCATTCGTTTGGTGCCCGACAGGAGAACGGAGAGTGCAGTGAGTGGGGCTTGAGGGGCCCTTCAGCTGCCCGCCGCAGGTACTGCCGCGTCGGGGGCTGTGACATGAGGCGGTCCCTTTTTTGACGGACCCTCCTCACGAAATCGCACGGTCCGAAACCGTCGCGGGAGGGCGGGCCGTGATTGCGAGAGGACTGGCCTTTTTTCACCGTGCTATCGACGGTCTCAATGCATCATCTGCCGTAAATTTTCCCGCCCACTTTTGAATATCGGGGCCCGCGCGGATTTTACCGTGATATCGACGGTTCCAACGCGTCATCCGGCGTGACTTTTCCCGCCCACTTTCGTTTCTTGGGCCCCGCTCGGATGTATCCGCCATTCGAATGACGGTGGCGCCATTCCGCGAATTTGCAGGTAGGCATTGCAATCGTCCGAAGCAGCAGGCAATCGCAGGTGTCGCCAACCCTCACGGCCGAAAATGCCCGTCGCGCGCCCGGACCACCCGCCCTTGCCAGCGACACAGCCATCTCGTCGCCGAGGGACACAACCATCTCGTGGCCATCTCCCCCGCCGTTTGCCTCGCTTCTCTCTCTCTCCCTTGTCGCCATATCCCTCGACTCGCCATCTCCTTCGCGTCTCAATCTCCCAAGTCTCCATTCGCGGTTTTTCCCTTTCACGCGTCGGCACCTCCCTTTTCACGCGTCGTGACGCGCATCGTCGTATTGCGGTTTGAGATCATCAACCAAGTCGCCGGGGCCATTGTTTCCAACAACAGTTGTAAATCGAGGAAAGAAAAGGTGCGTTCTCTCTCTCATTCTATCTCCCTTTCTCATCTCTCTCTGTCTC